TAGAATTTATAGAAAGTGACGTAATGACAAATTTTCATAGACAATGGTTCTAATACGTCAGTGATAATAGAAGTAACTTCAATGAAGAAAGAGTTAATTATAATCTTTATTTTTATGCAATCAATCTAATAAAATGTATCATAACAGTTTTCGTATTGTCATTCACATGTGAAAAGTATATTCTTGAAAAATCTGCTAAGTAGGAATTAGAAATGAAATGGAGATAAGTCTTAAATAATTTATTGTTTTTTTTTTTATCGGTGAAATATGCTAAAAAACCGTTATCTTATGATCAGATGAGTATATTTTATGTTTCCCTTTTACAACATTTTATTCATGTTGGTAATTAAATTTAAATATTCTTTTACTATATATATTATAGAAACACGATTTTAAATTATAGCTGACAAGGCTTTAGAATCGATCTTGATAGACGTGAATTACAAGATTTATAATAAGTATGAGAATAATTCATAGATAACTGTTTTGGTTATAACTATAAGAACAGTAAAAATATAAAAATAAATGTTTGATTTTGACATGTGTGACATAAAAATATTAAAAATAGAATGACAATGTACTTTTTTCTTCTTATCCAATGAAAACTATATCTATGTAGATATTGTCGCTTTCCAGATGGAAACGATCACATTACTCGACCAATCCAATTGCAAGACAGATGATTTGATTCTCATAGTAACGAAAATAATTATAACTGTGGCCATCTTATTTCGCATTTTTATTGGATGATCATTTCTAACGAAAAGGGATGGATGGGACGTTTGACAGATGATAGTCAACACTTTCTATATAAACGCAATCGATATTGGAGATGAAAAACAGTCGCAGTAATCATATATTCAATATACGATTAATATACAAATGGCTAACATCATGAAAACCATCTTATTTATGTTCTATGTTATATTTATGGCAACTACTTTAATGATCTCAAATGCTGCTAATATTCGATGCATTGATGATTCAACATATTGTGATGCAATTGGATGTGCAGATCCAGATGCTTATGGTTATAAATGTGATGATGGAAACTCATATTGTTATTGCAACTAAACATCACAGTCAGTATGAATATGAAGAAGATTTCAAGAGTTTGTTTTCTTTTATTTTAGTGACTATGGGAAACACACACATATTCATATCGAATTCGATGATCTATGTTATATCAAATATTCATATTCAATACTTTTGCTTTTTTTATTCGATTTATTTGGTTTGAAAAGAAAATTTAATTGAAATAAACATAGATGTGTGTGTTGGTACTAATCATGAATTTGAGTGATTTTTCACTAAACAATAACGTCAATGCATTATTTCTATAAGTTTTCATCGAGAAATTTAATATTATGGAAAATATTTGAGAAGTTATCTATTTTCTCTGATGTTTTGATTTGTTTGAGTTGATGAAAATCATATAATAGAAATGTAAGTTGTTGCATATAGTTTGAATACTATAGAAATTGTTGAAAGGTTCTACAAAAGAGAAAGAAACATGTCTTGGTCGCAAATGTTGAGAGAAGAATGCTCCTGCATGAAATATTAGATTGGAATACTACACTTTTTTTGATATAACGCAAGAAAAGTTCTGGAAAATAAAGCAAAAAAGAAGATTCAATCAAAACTTCGAAATAGTGATATCATTAAATAAAATCTTGGCTTTATATTGTCTATAAATAATATAGTCATATTAATTCAGGATAATAAATGATTCTATTAAAAGTGAATTTCACAGAAGTTATATTCGTAACGAATATTTCTAATAATTCAATTATACGACAGGTGTTCAGAGTAGCTGTCTATTTATACTTATTATATAAATAGGTGTTAATTACTATATATCTATACATATTTAACCAGATATAGGAATAGATTCAGTTTCATTTATATAGATATACGTATATGCCTTTCACACACCCTCACTTGCATCAGCCTCCGAGGCACCCTCAGTCAGATGAGTACTCGAATAATTGAACAATTCAATAATTCAAGTATAATACTCGAGCAGTCGAAAAGATAGTTGAATACTCAAATTTAAGGTTCGAGTTTGCTACTACTGATATATCTATATAAATAACGCTCGTCGAGACAGACTCTCTTAACCCTCGATTGAATGCCTATATTGAATTGTGCTTTCTGTTGATGTCATCACTGGTATTAACTTGAGCAGCACTTTATATAATTGTTATAGCTCTTTTTTCCTAACTTGTCATCCTAAAAATCACTTTGTAACAAATTTCAATAATATACTAATTTAAGATGTAAGTGGAAACGTTTATTATTAAAACTTTCATAATCAACTACACAACAGAAAGTTGCTTTATATATGATTAAAGCAAATAAAAAGGAACATAAACAGAAATTCATTTCTACGAAATATCGTGTGTAATATAATCCACAAAGAAGAAAATCTGCCCTAAAGAATACTAAACTATAATAAATTGCAAGATTACGTAAGCTATAAGTGAATATGTGAAATATCTAATTATTTAAAGTCAAATTACACAATAATAATTGTATGAATCAGTCGTTCGGATGCTAGGGCACTACCCGTATATAGAGAAAGTAGACAATCAATTTTAAACTCAAGATTTAGTGAAATCGAGCGCCCGAACATTGCCAACCTGCTCATAACATAATAAAGGCACAGTAGTGACAAAATAAGATCCGATCGATTACCAGTAATTAAAACTAATGTTGAGCACAGAGATACCACAGGGAATTTATAGGTTTCGAGTTCTGATTGGTCAATTTTACCACGGTTAGTGCGTCACTGGTCACAGTAGTGAATAGAGCTGTTTATGTGACGATTTTTTAAACTTGACCTTTGACCTGCTACAGGCAAACAATTTTTTTTGTATGACCCTCCTTCCAGTCGAGGAAATAATTTAATGGAATAGATTGTTGATGAATTTCTAAAATCTTTTCATAACACTGTGATGCATTGGAATAATTGTTTAGATCTTTATACGCCTGACCCATATTATTATAAATAGTAATCAAATTAGATGAATTCTTTGATTCTATCTGAAGATCTAATGCCATTTGATAAAATTGTATAGCTTCTCTATATTTTTCTAATTGTTAATATAATAATCCAACATCGTTATAAATTGTTGATAAATTCACTTGAACAGAATTTGAAATCAATTTTAATGCTTTATGATAATAAAGAAATGCTTTTTTATATTCATATTTCGTTGTTTTAACTAGTCCCATTAAATGATATCGAGGAATAAGTGCTGTTCTATTTATCATTCCTGTCCGTTTTATCAATGAGAAACTCTAAAATTTCTTCAGCTTTATCGAAATATCCCACTTTTAAATACAATTTACTAATTCGATCCCATCCAACCGGTCCTTGAGTCTCTTCTTCAATATATTTATTTAATCGTTTCAAATCTTCATCATCATTTTCATTAATCAATTGCAAATGAACTTTCCAAAGTTGATTATCAATTTTTTTTTATTTCACTAATTCGAAATAGTGTATTAATTGTAAACAAGAATTCTTCTTGTAAATTATCATTTTCTAATGAAACTAATGGTGTAAAGTTTGCTTTAGTTGGATAAACATTGATTTGAAAAACAATGCCAATCAGATTCATAAGATGGGGAATATGAATTTGCAGCAAATTCATTTAATTTTAAATCAGAGTAATTTGTAGTAATATGAAATAGAAGGACATCATTGTGGTCAAAATAAGNGTCAAAATAAGGTCCTCATAAAATATATGTATTTAGTTTATAAAGATTACACAGATTATAGACTTATGTAAAGTCTCAGAAATTCTTGTGGTCAATGTGTTTAATAAGGTCTTCATAGGTTATATGTATTTAATTTTATTGACCACAATGACTACATCGATGGGAATGCTACAGTGCTGTTCAAAATTATAAGAACAAAGCTTTTTTTTATGTATTAAAAAATTTTTATCTCCCTTTTCTCTGCTTAAATTGATCTCTCAAATAGTATATATGTATTCGAGTACTTGAATACATATATACTATTTGAGAGATCAATTTAAGCAGAGAAAAGGGAGATAAAAATTTTTTAATACATAAAAAAAAGCTTTGTTCTT